TATATATATATAGATAAAATTAAATACGAGGCTCTGCGAACACAAGAATCAATATATATATATTCGTAGGGTTAATTTTTATATTGATTCTTATGTTCGGAGATCCTCGTATTTAACTTTCTTTTAGTCTGTCTCATGTATGTTGCGTCATAATCTTTACATGATATTTTATAAACTATATTTTTGTTATTCAGTAACGGAAGAATATCTTTCTGAATCTTGACTATTTTTCCTAACTTATTAAGATTGAAAAATGATAATTTGAAATTAAATCTTTGATTATGTTAATAAATTTTTCCGATATGTTAGAGATACATGGAATTGTAAACCATCTTTTTGAATCACCATCTTCAGTATTTCCATTATCTTTGTTTTTTATCTGTTTATAATAAGATTGAAAAGTTTTTTCAATCTTAATGTTATTATTACATCAAAAATGAATTTTAAAGAATAATCATTCAAGAAAGTATCGATAATAAAAGGAAGATTCTTTTGATGGTATCTAGATCTTATCAGCCAAAAAACTGAAAAAGAAAAGAATTCAAAAAATTGAAATATTGAAGTTGAATACTCAAGTTCGGGAAGGCGTCTTCATTCTTCAATTTATATATTTTTTATCTTTAATTTTTAATCAATGTATATATTATCCTGAATATAGCTGAAAAGATGTAGCCGAAACTTCGACAATTACTTAAGTTTTTGTATAAATCAAAAATATTGAAAAATAATTAATTAAACAAATTACACTACTATGAACCGTGTAATAACTCTTTGCCCGTTGTTTTATACACATTTTTGTTAAAAAAGAAAGCTCTAATATAATTTTAATTTTAATTTTAATTTTAATTATATTTATTTTTGGATTTTTCAAATATGATTAATTTTTTATATATATCTTGAAGAAGTTATATAAAATTTTACGAAATATGTTTTTTACGTTTGAATAACAAGAGTAATCAAATAGGACAACGGATAAATAGATAAGAGCCAATATATATGTAGTTGAGATCTCTCTTATCATTGCATGTAAAAAATTATTAAATGTATCTGATTAAATATGCACAAATGAACAAGGTTACAAATAAGAACTTTGTTATGTAATTTCAAGTCGAACAGAAATAATGTTTCATCAGTAATCAATTTTAGAATTATAATATTATTAATGTTTGAGTAATAATAGAAAGAAGGTTTCAATAAATATATATCAATTAATTCAAAGGGCTTTGATATGATTATTCTACAGTGCATTTTTCATGACTTAAGTAAAAATATCACGATTTTATTTTTTAATCTGTGTCCACTGATTTTGATGTTCCGATCCGTGACATTCTTCTCGATGGTATATAAAAGATTTTCTGTGAGAGTCTATAATATTCTATTTTATAAACGGTCATTAAGAGAAAAATGTACTAAATTTTAATAAATACCTATTTAAATAGTACTAGTATAATATTTATTTACAAAACAGATATATTGTTAAATAAATAATAATAATAATTGAATTAAATTAATGGTTCTTGTAAATAAATACATGTTTACATTTAGTAAATATGTAATTGATACTATTTAAACATAAATTTTTATTAAAATTTAATACATTTTTTCTCTCAACGTAATGTGTGAACGTACAACGTGAAACTGTGTGCAAACCCGATTGTACAGATTTATGATACTATGAAATAATTATATCTATGAAATAATTATATCTATAATTAGTTTCACGAAGAGACTAATTATTTGAACGAGTCTGCGATATTTTTCTCTTACAAAGTATTGCGTCAAGTATTTGAGTCCTAATATGAATAAATTTTTAGCATGCATGCCGTAAGTATATACTGTAAGTAATTTTCTGTTTATTATACTAATTTTGTAGGTATAACATACGTGTAACACGAAATTTATATCATTAGTAATTTTCATTAGTAATTTATTCAGTTTTAAGTTCCTTGTAAATGTAATAGTATACCACGCGTTTAGTTGAATAGTCGTATATTCTTTCAAAAATAAAGTAAAGTTAATACCTGAAATATAATGCAGCGAGAGTTGAAGCGTAACAATATCAATTTATATAATCAATTTATATATCCTTTCTGCACAACGTCTTTCTGGCAAGTGAAGCTTTATAATGATAAATAGCGAGAGAAAAATAGCTGGAAAGATAAGATAATCAATAACTAATATTTTCAAGAAGTATCCGCGAATCTCAAGGATATTGAAATAACAATCATTTAAGAATTCTATATTAGTATTATAACTTAATCTATCTGCAGTTATTCTATATGGAAAGAACTCTATTATTTCTGAAAGGATCTCTTTTTATAATAATTTGATTCCACATCAAATATCTTACAATTATCTCAATCAAAGTACGTGGTTAAATTCAAGATTATATGCTTACTAATAACGGCTTTGCCAATTTCAATTTTAAGTTATATCTATGTTTCCTTATCTGTATATTAAGTTGTTTCTTGGTTTGATACCTACGTATAAAATATTGCATTCCTTACAGTAAACTTCACATTATTATTTTTTTTCGAGAGAGAGATTGTTCTTGTCTTTTTATGCTTTTTTTATGAACTTATTTATTAACTTATTTAGCTTATTAACCCATCTGTAATATTTTTGGATTTATTTATAAATAATCCTATCATCTTAGAAACTCCTATCTTCTCGATATATGGAAAACTTTCTATTATTCTCCAATGCTTTGGTCATGTTCTTAAATGCAGTAGTCAATAAGCGTAACAATTATTGTGTGTTAAATTTAAATTATCTTAACATAATTCGGAATAAGACACATGTTTATACAAATTTTTTTGCTTAATTGAAACAATCAATATTATCACATACCCAGCCCCTTCCTCTTATGAATATATATTTTTCATTTAATTTATTAAACATATTATTAAACATAATCTTGATTGCAATATTAATGAATTTAAATTTAATTTTATAAATTATGTTATTATTTTATAAATGAATGTTAATTAAATTTTATAAATTATGTTTCATAAATTTAATAAATGTGATATTTATTTTTAATAAATATGATAATTTTCACACTTTTTTATTGAAAATAGAAATCAGATTTATATGAAAAATTGATCATCCTTCAGAATTGCAATTGTAATGACTAATATAAAGATTCGATGCCCAGTGCGAAATTAATAAATAAATAGAGTCATTGCTTGGTTTATTTACGTTGCAAAACCGGCTATTATTCAGAAAATGAAGTATGTGTTTGTCAGCCTTGACATGCGAATACTAGATGATCTCGTATCTAATATTCCTTGTCTTTATCTGACACATTATATGCATAAGAGAGGTAAAGAGAAAGAGAAGGTACTTTGTTTCAAATAGTTATTTGCGCATACATTAGCTCTTTAAATTTTTAATTCTTTACTCGCAATTTTTAATTTTGATATGAGTTACATAAATAACTTAATTGATATTACAATAATAACAATTAGAAATAACAACTTAAATTAGAAGTATGTTGTCATCATTTCGCTGAAATAATCCGCCTGAGATAATGCCTTGCAAGTAAACACATTTTTTTGCTATGCTTTCGTGCACGCACAATATAGCAGATAATTTAGCATTTAGTGTTACAAAAATATCTATAATAACGATTTAGAGTATAGAATTATATTTATAGAAAGAAATAAAATAAATTTTCTTCTCAAGCAGTCGCTTTCTACACGCAAGAATAAATTCTTCAACATCAATTTTTTTCTGACTCTCCATAAACAATGATTACACTGAAGCGAATGTGCATCTGTTTTATTATAAAGAAAAAAATGCGAATTAGCATAAATTATTCCACATTCGTGCCACACACATCTGCTTATAGTCCTAGACCTGTCTGGTACACGTGGCAATTTGCATAAAAAATTCCCACGCCACATAAACACGAATGATGCATAATGAAATTATGTCATCGTCGTTCGATCACCGATTCATTTTATCATAAAAATTGTGAAGTCAAAGTCAAATATCTCGTTTTTTATTTTATTTTTTTATTTTTTTATTTTTCGTTTTTTATTTTAGATGGAATTTTTTTTTCACATTATGTGCTTCAAGAGAAGCAAACAGTTTTCTCGAATACGTTCAAATATGTATAGTTACTAATTCTTTTTTTTATAAATATAAATTTTATCTAATAATTATTCGGAAATTTAATTTAATTGAATTGACATTGAGACTCCTACCTATTCATT